TTTTTTATAATTTATTTATTAAATTTTATATTTATAAAATAGTATTATAATTTATTTGAAGAACGACGCTATGGGCCATAGCGCCCCACTTTTATTTTTTTTAATTATTATCTTATAGTTTAATTATTATTTTTTAATAAAATTTATTTTTTATTTTTCTTATATTACGTTATTTTTATTTGTTTTTTCTTCACATAATTTTTTTATATTTTTAAATTTATATTAATATATTTTTTATATTATTTATATAAATGTGGTGTTATAGGCTATAGCGACTTCAGTTAAATTGAGTCGCTATAGGCTATAGCGACTTCTTTTGAGAATCCAGCAGCTACAGCCTCAAAGGTGTAATATATTTCAAAACAACCTCATTTTGGTAAATAATTTGTAAAAGTGCTAAAAAATGATCGTTTAGCCCAATTCTTTATATTTATATAAGTAGACACGTACTATAATATCAGTGAATGTTTGGATCCCGTTAGAATCGTTTAAAATTATGTTAAAATTATTAGTTAAAGTGATTTATGTAAATATTAACATAACTATCCCGTGCTGAGGATTTAATTGTAAATATAATTTTTTTTTGTGCATGTTAACCGAGTCATGTTGAAGCAATTCATAATTACTTCTGTGTCAATGAGATATTTTAACTTGAATTTGGAAGTCAAAGTGGATCTTGATCGCTTATCCAATTACACAGTTTGGGTTGAAATAAATTCAGGTAGTTTTTAAGTTGGATAAAAAATCTTATGCTAAATTTTACTCCTAACTTATTTTTAGAATAAAAATATTTAAACACATACCACTTTACTTTAAAACTAAAAGTGTAAAAAAACTTATTACTACACCTAATTTGAATTTTATTATTTCTTAACGTTGTCATTTTCACTCGATTTGAATTTGACAAAGGGAAATGAAATTAATGTGAATGAATTTTGTGCACCTCTTGAAACTATAATCGTCTAGATCTATGGGAGTGATAAAATAAAGGCTAAAAATCTATTTTGGTCCTTTATAATAATTATTTGTTTCAATTTAGTCCCATTTTTTATTTTTGGTCTCAATTTGGTCCCAAATAAATTAATTGGTCTCAATTTGGTCCCTAATAAATTAATTGGTTTCAATTTGGGACTTCCGTCTAAATTATTTAAACAGAGTTAACTGTGTGGCCACGTAGATGCTACGTAGATGGATAGGTGAATGTCACATGGATGCCAATTTTTTTTTTAAAACACCTGGAACCAGAACGGCCCATTCTAAAACCAGAACGGGCCGTTCTGGTTGCACTTTTGGTGTGTTAATTTTGCATCCGGAACGGCCCATTCCAGGTGCAAAATTAACACACTAAAAGTGAAATCAGAACGACCCGTTCTGGTTTTAGAACGGGCCGTTCTGGTTCCAGACTGCTAAATACAAATGATCAATGATTATAGTTCAGGTTGTGAATCATGGAAGAAAAAAGACTCAAGGTACAAAGCATTTCAAACACTGAATTTGGTAATATTGTCAATGGAAATTGATAACTTCAATTGCTAAACAGTTAGGCTGTACAATGTATTATTAAGGACAATGCAATGTATCACTAAAGGATGAACCACTTACTACCAAATTGACACTATATTGTCAATGAAATGACACTATACAGTAAATGATGAAATGACATTATTAATTATATTTAATTATGCTGTTATATCTAATATAATAAATATATTAATATTTTTTTTTATATTTTATTTTATTGTTTAATTATTTTTTATTTTGTGGTAAAATTATCTTCATTTTTAATGAAGAAAAAATTTACTTACTTCAAGAGTAAGTCTTGATAGATTTATTCTATTTAATAATTAATGTTCTATATCAAATTTTTAAGAATTTAATTGTTAAATTAAAAAGTTTTTCATGTATAGATCAAATTTATAAAAAAATTTAAAAAATTAAATCTTGAAAAAAAATAATCCTTCATCAAAAAAATATAATAATTAAAAAACACCATTAAAAAATATAATAACCATAATGTAATATAAAATTTTTAAAAAATAGGGGGCAAGGCCCCACCCATAATCCACATGCATGCATTTATCCCTACTTACAATGTATCACAATCAATACAGTTGTGTTAATTAATATCTTTACCAGCATTTCAATTTCACTACACATTCATGTTAAGATTCAAATCGTTCGAGCTTTTGTTTCGATACTTGGGCGAGTTTCAAGGAGAGACTTCATATTTTAGTTTTGCATGTTCGCTTAAGCTTTTGTTTCAATATTTGAAAAAAAATTTACTATTCCATTCTCATCTTATTTCTACCAAATTTGTTAAGTCTCTAATTATCTTCTTTTCTCTTTATTCATTTTTCTCTCCTTTTGTTCTATAAAACAACACCTACCATAATTAATTAAAAAAAGTAATATAATTACAATGGATTAGATTGAAATGTGAAGAATAAATATATTCAAAAACAATGTGCTATATTAGACAATTTATAAAGAAAAGAGAATAAATCATCCCAATTTACAACAAAAATATGCATAGTATTTAAGTAAAATTGACAAATAACAACTCCTCCGACTTTAGAGCTTTGTTTGCCAAGTAAAAGTCCTCTATCTTAATTCTACTATGAATTTGAGAAAAATCAATCAACACATAGGAAAAAACTTTCAACCTTCCTTTTTCTTTAATTCAACATGGTGCCCACAACATGAGCATAACAAAGATACACATAAGTTTCAACGCATATAGAGATTAATGTAATTGGCAATCCAATATCAAGCAACCAGTTAAGCAAATTCCTTTCCAAGATGATTATCTCAAAATCAAGGTGAGTGTTTTCACTCTATCCAAACACTACACATGTGGAAGTCAAAATTAATCATCATCTCTCCAAAGTATCATAAATGAATGAATTCACATGAATCATGCAACAATGCTTAAGGCTTATAATGTGGCTAGGCTTAAAAGGAAAATTGATTTTTTTTAAAATAAACATCAAAACACTTGAGAGATTATAATTAAGAGAGCAGAAAATGTATTGAATTAACACAACTCTTAATCTTTACCTTCAATCAAAATCCTTTAGAAAAAAAAAAGGAAAAAAATAATTCAAGCCAAACACTACCTTGTACCCAAAAAAAAAAAATAGTGGCAAATAATGTTTGGCCATAAAGTACTTTGTGTGATATAAATCAAAATATAAAGGCAGGCTGGTACCTTATGTTTATTTTAAAGCATGTTTCATTATAAGTTTAAATTACCAAAAATATTAATGGAAGGCCTAATTCCCGGGATCATCAAGGACAAATCTGGTTAAAATGTCTACAGAAAAGGAACTCATCCAATTATATTATAAGAAACAAAGAAAAATAGAATGACGCCACTAAATTAATATGGCAGTTGTAATTGTTAATTTAGGTAGTAGTACATGACAGCCATTCTGACTATTATTAGATTCCCTACACTAAAATTGTTGCTCCACATACTTTTAGTTCATTCTAGCTATATAAGTGACACTGATAGAACAATATTCCCACTTAGCTGGCTCAATTCATAGCTCAGCTAGTTGCTTTATGTTTATAGGATAAACAAAATTGTGGTTCCCATTAAACGCCATTCTTCCCATGAGAATGTTCACTGCTTCTGTTGGGTGGAATGCATCCCAGAACACATACTGATTTCTGTTAGGGCATGGTGTTTGGAATGGGAGACATGTAATTTGGCCTCTGTTTCTTCCAATGCCACAGCACCCTCTATTTATAACAGTAAATCCTACACTTAAAAAAACTAAACCATCAGTTTCATCATCAAATACATGTTGAAAATGTGCATTGCAAGGTGCTAAACCATAAGAGCAAAATAATGTAAAATCATGTTTTAGAAGAAAACTTGGATACAATGTCTTATTTTTTATTTAAAATTGAAGTTTTATTTTAATAATACATATTGACATTTAATAAAATATTTTATTATGTGTGTTATTAAGATAAAATTTTAATTCTAATTTGAGAAGATTGAGAATACCATCCAAGTTTTATCCATGTTTGATTTGTGTTATTTTGAGGTGGCTATGCAATAGTATCTTTTGATTCATACCATAAGATCTAGCATTGAGAAGGATGTCCTGGAACATGTGGACAGTATCAGCGAATATGAATCTGGCACCAGGTAGATTACTATTGAAATTGTTCAACATGTTCTTCACATTTTCATTAAAGGGTTGCACTAACAAGTTCACTTCTTCAGAACAGCTTCCACTCGTGCTTTGAGCCAATATGCTTGGAATACATCCCATTAGCCCCAGTCCAGCAATCACAAATTTCCTTGCTCCAAGATTGTAAAGCCTCTGTAACACATCATGAACCATTAATTTTTCCTTAAAATTCAACCTTCACAAATTTGTGTCTTGGAAAATGATGCTTTCTTTACTATTAAAAACCTCAAACATTAGTTTCTTTAAATCAACATGTTAACAAATCCTAAGAAGGATCTTTGGATGATGATACACAAAAGCATTACGCATCTTATGACAAGGATAATTGACAGAAACCAAGGAGTCGAATTTTATTTTTTATCAATGAGAAAGATTACAATGAAAAGAATGAAGATGAAATAAAAACTCAGTCTGGAAAACAAAGAAATCTTACTGTGAGCTGCTGGTTATATGTTTGAACCAAGAGATCAGCATATTGTGGTCCATTGTACTGATTTCTAGTGGGATAATTAGGCATAAGGTAGTTGTTTAGGTAGTCATTGCTTCCCATTCCAACAAAGAATATGCACCGTGCAAGCGCTGTGGCCATATTCGCTGCTCCAAGATTCCCAGCAAGTTGATTTAATGTGTTCTCAAAGTTCCTAATTTGCTGATCAAATGGTATGCGCCCAACCTGCTCAAAACAGATCCAATTATGATACAATCTACATATCATATTTTAATCATTTTGGAAATAGGAACCTATTGATAATAGTTTGTTAATATTTAATAGTTTTCAAGGGAATAGTTGGTGGAATAATAGAAACTTATTTGTATTTAGAGAGTAGTAGTAGTATTAGTGGTAATTGTTGTTGTTACAATGAAGTCTCAATTTGCCTAATTATAGACATGGTGCTCCATCTCTGAATGATAAAGAAATTATCTACAATTTTCTATACTCTATAAGTCTCTACACTCTTTTAATTTTTTTCTAAAGATTTATACATTTTATGTTATGTTTCTAGAATTTTCTTTTTCTTTCTTATTTCTAGACTTTTTTTTTTTTTTTTAGAATTAATCATAATTTTAACATAATTAAATTAAGGTTTTGTTGTTTCTTTAAAATACAAAAAGCATCTGAATCTGTATATATTTTTTTAGTCTTGCCACCCTTAACTCAGTCTATTAAGATAGAGACTAACATATCAACTAACAATTAACATTTAATATTTTTAATAAAAAAGGAGACTAATTCCGTTTCAATTAACATTTAGCATTTTTAATAAAAAAAAAGGAGACTAATTCAGTTTATAGTATTGTGATTGTTACTAGTTCGAAAGATTTTCAGAAAGCAACCGAATATAAAGACAATTAATTGTTGTTTAAAGTAAATTAATAAAAAAATGTTGCTTAAAGTAATGTAAAGGTCAAAATCTAAAATTATAAATAAATGTTACACACAAAGTTTCTGCCAGTGGCATCAAGGATTCCAGCAGCAGCAGAAGCGTAGTTTACTCCATGAAGCATTTGATTCCCCGAGGCTTCTGTGTATGCAGGAATCAAGGGAAGTCCAAGCAGTTCAGCTGCATTAATACGAACACATCAGTTTCAGTTTAGGGGAAATGCTACATATAAATTTAAAGCAGGGGATCTTAACCAGTTAACAATTATTTGGAATACAAGAGAAAGCATCACAGATACTCGATTCTCTATTATGAGAAAAAAAATATATATAATTCTTAAATATAAACAAATTATAACTACTTTTTCAACAATATTCTTATTAAAATATTTATACTTTAATGCATAATTTTTCGATTATGTTATTTCTTTTATATTTATAATAAAAATAATTTAAAAAACATATTATGAAATTAATAAAATTTAATATAAATAATTAATTCCTTTAATAGTGTAATTTTTTATTTTCTTATAATGGAGAATAGAGGGAGTATAATGTTAAAGGAAAATCATATGGTAATGAAGATTTCACACTGAAAACATGCTTACAATGGAAGTTTGAGCTGAATATTTTTAAGACATTATTTTCATAAAGTATTTGACATTACACATTTAACTTAATTAGTACTGTAGCCACTATGATACAGCATATTATGCATATATTTTTTTGTTGATAATTTCATAGCACCTATGTTATCTTTTGCATTGGCAGGTAATTTCTATTTGGTCATACAGTCTAGTGAGAAATACATGTTTAGGTTCCGTACATACAAATTAGGGGAGGGGATATATTCGACAAGTTAGATTGACTAAATTAATTAACAATAAATAAGATATCATGTGACACAAAGATTTCTATTATGATTGAGTATGAGGTGACAATAAGTTTGTCATTGAATAGTTTAATTTAATCTACCCAACTTGGGTAGACAAAGTCTGTCAACACGAGTAATTTTCTGGCTCAAGGGACGTGTAGCTAAAAAAGAAGGAAGAGCCTATATCCTATTTAATGCACCATTTACTGCAAGAAAATGGAATGATTGAAACTTATCTACTCTTTTTGCCACAGGCAGCATACAGCATACTTTTGATTTGAAGGAGAAAATAGAAATTTACACAGCGAGTAATTACTTCAGAGCATTGCCTATAGCTAAGAGTTAGGCTGTTAGGTAGCAGTTGTTCACCTCATTGATGGTAGCCCTAGGCTTCCTATGTAAGAAGAGGAATGATACATCCTCCCATTCAATGTCCAAAACATGATCCAAAATATTAATATTAATTTTATAATAAATATATTATAAAATAATTATTTAATTTAATATTTAATAATTTAAATTAATAAAAAAAAAAAAAAAAAGCTCTATATAACCTCTCCAAAAGCTCCAACTAGATTTTCTAAAACTTCCATATTCTCATGATTTCTTCCTGAAAAAACAAGCTACAATCATATTTTTTAAAATCTTATATATAAACTTTATAAAGAATGTTCAACGCAATTTCTTCTTTGAAGAAAAAAAAAAGGTAAAAAATAATTCAAGCCAAACACTACCTTGTACCCAAAA